ATCATGTTTTGGTCTAAAAAAGGCACACATGACTTATTTTTCAGTAAAGGTTTTATTTTTACAAAATAATATTCAAAATGTTTTGTACCTCAATAAAATATCATTATTCAATATAAAACGATAAAAACTTGTAACTTTTGACTGAGTGCTCTATTTTTTGCATCAGTATGTGATTAGAAAATAATGAATTTGCAAAATAGTAGAGGAAGTGTAAATCTAATTGAGTTCCTGTAGTATCTTACTGTTCGCTTATATAGTGCTTCAGGTGAAAAGAGGCTTTTCTAGTCTATGCAATATTTAAGTAGTGGTTAATTAACACTTCTGATAAAGAACCATGTTAGATTCTCATTTTGCTATGTTTACGGGAAAGATGTGTATAAACACAAATAAGAAATGTCTCCATCTGGTGGTGAAAATTGTAATAAGAAACTATAAAAGACTGACATTGTGTTCCATGTGTGGAAGTACTGTCATTTCAGTAATAACACACACTCTGATAAAGGCAACTTCTTGACTAGATCAAAAAGTAGAAAAGGTTAATTGTCTAGAGCAGTGAATATACGCAACACAGGGATGCAGGTCCATTAGGGGATGAATAAAGAAATCGGCATAAATGCTGATCTGGCCAGATACCTGTGGTTCATTTCCACCAGTGGTTTTGTTTATTACACCGAATACTGCAGCCTAAAATAGTGCACCTCTTTTCCTAGATGTGTTGGTGTGGAGCAATGACCGAGTTATTCGCTGGATACAAGCAATTGGACTTCGAGATTATGCGAATAATATTCTTGAGAGCGGTGTGCATGGCTCACTTATAGCCCTGGATGAGAACTTTGACTACAGCAGCTTAGCTTTATTATTACAGATTCCAACACAGAACACCCAGGCAAGCCCCTCTGTGCGGTAGTTGCACTGTGTCCTGGTTTATATAATGACAAACTAAACTTTTAGGGAAAAAAAAAAGTTGGCTGTATATTCATGGTTCTTAATGAGAGTTGGCTCAACCTTTGAAATATGTCATTGGGGTATTAATTTCAAGCTACTGGATTTCTAGCCAAAACAGAATCTTAAAATTAAAGCAGGAAGGGATTTAGAGATTGTATGGTCCAACCTCCACCTGAATGCCAGATTCCCCAAAACAACTTCCCTGACAGATGGCCTTCAGTTTCGTGTCTCTGAGAGGCATTCAATTCTATTTACATGTCTGAATTATACAAACACTTAGCATTGGGTATGGAGTGATTCCCAAATCTGGATAACTATTTGAATCACCAGAGTTCCTTAAAAATTAAAATTAAAACCTCAATCCACACCACAGACCTAAAGAATCAGCTATCAAGAGCTAGGTCATACAAATTTTTATTATCTCAAGTTCCCCCATATGATGATTACCAGCCAGGTTTGAGAATTACCTATGTAGACTTGATAAGAATTTGGCCATCCATTGGTACTTTTAGTTTGTTTTTACATATTTCAAAGTTTATATAAAATACTCAATTAGAATAAAGCAACAAAGTGACATCAGAGCCCCTTGACAACAGAAATTTATGTGAGGCTATCTCTTCCCCCACAGACAAAAGAAAATAGCCATACTTCGTATTTATAGCTAGAATTTTCAATGACTTGTAAACATGGAAGAATGGAAACTTAAGACCCCATAAGTAAAGCAGGGCTTGGAATGCATTCTCCGATAAATATAGTCTATATGATTTCTTTCCATAAAACGCTGGTAACTCTAATTTGACATCAACAGGCAAGGCAGATTCTTGAAAGGGAATACAATAACCTCTTGGCCTTGGGAACTGAACGGCGACTCGATGAAGTAAGTCCTTACTTATCCTTCACAAAGGATCTTAGAACGTATAAGAAACATGATAGAATATCCTGGCTTTTAAGGGATAATGCTTGGAAATTAACCAGATGTTTGATCTATGGCTGGAATCTAGTATTTTGTTCCCTAGTATTGTTCTTCAATATTGTTATATTACTCATTTGATTTTGGAAAAAAAAAGAATTCATATATACATATATATAATTTCAGCAGATGGAAACACTGAAGAGTAATTAAAAAAGAGACTTCTTTCCATGAGCAGTGATTGCAAAATAATGTTGAAAAACACTTTTAAAAATTATAAACAATGACAACACTGATAAGTTCAGCTTCCTAATAAGGAATGTGCTCATTAATTAAATATCAGAATATATTCATAGGAAGTTTTTAGATATTAAAATGAATCAAAAACTTACTTTCATTATTTTAGATATTGCCTTTTCCTTAAAAACAGATGAATAACATTCTAACAGTTATAGTACTTAAAAACTACGTTGAGTATAAGAATCCCTATAGATAATACATGCATGTTTCAATGATTTGGAAATAAGCAGGTAAGTAGCCCACCGAGATGGGCTCATACAAAGGACATCAGCCAATCCTGTGAATTCATAATCCCTTTACAAATCCTTCTGAATTTTTTTCCAAGATCATTCTGGAAGGAAGAAGTGAGAAGGAAACCTGAGTATGAAGTGGAAAATACAGAGATGTGTAATCTGTATTGCC